AATTGGGGTACATAGCCATTCTGGGGCTCTAAAAAGGCGTAGCAGGACAAGACGAAAGAATACAAATACGGATGGCATGGATGCGCTGCCGCCTGGCACCCCTCCTTCCACTAACCTTTGCCCAAAAATAAATGATTACTGTTCACGATTAGTTAAAACAATGATTTTCATGTTGCGTCGGTGACACCTGGCTCGCAGGCTTCCACTCGTACCTACTAGGAGAACGCTACGCAAGTGATTGTGTAAGTGATGTTTCTCGATAGTTCAACACATATTTTTATGTTTCTGAAGCGGAAAGTTTTCGAGCTCTGAGCTACGGATAGAGGGCGGTAGTAAACCATTGTAATTGGAATTGTGTGCTAAATGGTATAAAAGAAGCACAATTTCTGTTGAAATACTTATATGCTATGACAGGCTCGTGGGGGCTTCATGGTGACTCCATCCCCAAGGATATTACCACAATTGTTCAAGCACTTCCTATTCTGTATTCGGCGGATGGGATACCCTCGCTAGTAGTGAACTTAGGGCACGTCGGGCGCTTGAGAGCCCCCAAGCGAGAGCCGTAATTGGCTCAAGAAGCTTTCTTTTCAAGATTGCTTTTCCTTTCGTTTTCCGCAGCTGACCACAACGTTGGATGACTTCCCATTGGGGGAGGGAGTCGCTCGACGGCAGATTTCTCGGGAACAACTGGAAAACTTTCTGAAAACAGGTGAAGCGGTAGGGATTTGAGAAATGTAATTCTGCTCTGGTAGTGAATGAACTCCACGTTGCGGCGACATAGCAGAATCTACTTCATTTATTGTGGAAGTACTGCAGCATGCCGATCAAGTGGGGAGTGCTAGCTAGTTCCTGTTTCTGCCTCAAAGTGAATCTTCCTCTCTACTTCTTCTCCGGCTGATGTCAGTTGCTGCCTTCCTTTCGGACCCACAAACCCGGGCACAGCTTTACGGATCTAGAAGTCCCATAGTGCAGCTCTGATAGACTTTTGAAGCTTGGGAACACCTAATCTTCTGTTTTAATAAGTGAACGCACATCCGCACATCTTCCTGGCATCCCATGGAGAAGCGAAGAAAATTACTCATCGAAATACCCATCCACGTTCGCGTCCCCTCCCCCCCCCAGCACTGATTTCCGCTTCACAGTCGCATACGCACTCCACATCAGTCAGCTAATTTTGAAATTTGCTATTTTAGTACTGGAGATTGTATGCTATTTTAGTACTGGAGATTGTACCTTGGGGCCTCTCATCAGTACATATAATGCTAAGTACAGCTCTGACTTTTGTTTTCAGATTGGATCCTGTGTGTTGCACTTCACCGAGTGTTCGAATCGATTCGAAATCCTGTATTAATGATCAAATCAATACCGCCGTTAACGACTTTTCACATTCTGTTGGTATCAGATTTGGTGAGTCAATCATCAAATCAGACAAAACGTAACTTGAAGACGTCCTATTGAAAGAGGTACCGATTACTCGAATCGTGAAATGCTTTCGTGCCTGAGTTGTCAGACTCTCACTTCCAGAGGTTGTCCCACTTTCGCAGTTTGGCACTGACCCGTGAGGGCCGTCATTGGTCGAAGAAAGTCCGCCCCCGAAAATTAGTTTTTCTGTCTTGGGACGGGATATGAGAGTCGTAGGGGATCATACACGATATGATCCGTTCGTGTCGCATTAGAGCACACCCTTCAAGTTCACTGCCAGAAAGTGCTATCGTCCCTACTTTTCTCCTAAACCTTGTCAAAATCCTTTTGGGCACAGATTTCCATATCTTCTTTCTGCTGATGACGTGATTCCTACCAGTTTCATTCCTCCGGTTTCCCTTTCCTAATAGATAGACCATTTTCAGACGTATCGTGGCCTTCAATGTTGGCACCAGTACAACACTAACAGGACATTGGTTGACTTGCTTTGGAAGATGGAAATCTGTCCCTTCCAATCGATTGACGTTCCAGTGGTCACAGTCGAACGTAAGTGCTCTCCTTTACCTCAGCAGCCTTATTTTTGTTCATAGTGACCATATCTCCACTTCACAAACGGGCTGCGGTTAGGGAGCGTAGTAGGTTTGGGATCCCCAGCGGAGGGGGGAGGGGAGTCGCATTTGCCTTTCAGATAAATGCATTCGCGGATCCTGGTTTCTAGGAGATTTTCCTGTTTCACATCTATACTCTCATTCGTTTGACGGCAATTTTTTGCGGAGACTTTGTGGAATTGTGGAAATAAAAGTTCCGGAAAAGTGGTAGGAAATTGGAAAAGTTAGCATGGCTTAGGGAAGGAGGGGTCTTATCGAAGGAGGAAACTCCGGAGTGGTTGAATTCTGCAAAGCGTTCCCAACGGCATAACCTACCCTGACTGCGATATGGTGCTGTTCGGTTTATGGGAGGGAAGGGGGAGGGCATTTTGCACTTTCACTAGCGCCTGTGGCTAGTTCATTATAACTAACAGTATCCACTTTGATTAGACCTGTAATCTCTCGAAATGGTGCAAGTGAGCCACCTTAGTTACAGGACTTTGTCTTCACAAGGGATCTGTGCAATTTTCACTGAGTGCCATTTAGCGGCCTCACCGAGCTAAATTGCAATCTGCCAAACAAATGCTGACGATTTTCAGAAAACTGTGAAGAGTGCAAATGTTCGTGCGGTATCGAGCAGTGCGCCAGTGGAGCGGAACCAGTACGAGTTATTCACAAGAAGCGGTTGGGCAAATGCGGATGTGATTGTAGATGCACATATCGATGTGTTACTTTTTAATTATTCTAATGTAAATAACATTTTCCAAATTTTCCGAGTCTTGGATGCTGAGGAAAATATTGATAACATGTGTAGGAAAGTATTCAACTCCATGGGCACGTATGCGCTATATCTCGAGATGGGAGGAGGTGTGGCTGCGTCATTTGAACGTGGCGGATTCGCTCCAGGAGCGGTATCGCAAAACCACCTGGATGAGACGGGCGGAAAATGGTTATGGTCCAGCCGGCACTGCCGGCTGCTCCTCAACTTTCTTAGATCTGATTTTTACTCTGTTCTTCAATGTTCTGGAAACTTTAAACTCTTTAGGAAAGGCTTTACTGAAGCACTATGATTTACAAGCACATTTATTCCAAAACCCTGTTCACATAGTTAATAGTGACGTCATCTAGATTTATGGCGACACACCCTGCTGCTGACCACGTATTTCATATGAATCACCACGTATTTTCACGGTATCTGAACAATTCTCTATGAGAAACATCATCGTAAAGGAAAGCCAAGCCCTGGCACAGAAAAAGTACTGATGAAGGACCAATTTTCTAAGGCACCAACCGGACAAGAGCATTCGGATCGCGCTCGTCGAATGATGAAAGTGCCGTTGCCGATGGGCGTTGCTGAAGTGGTGAGATGTGGAAATGCCCTGCGGCAATCGCGTAGGGCACACTAAAACTGAGCAGAATTCAAATTATTCTTGTCAACTGAGCGGTCAAGAGACAGACTGCACTTGTCGT